TATATCCAACTGCTGCATCAGAGGCGTCACAAGACAGGATGAATGTCTTGGATGGGTCGGGATAAGAGAGAACTGGAGCGGTTATTAATGTTTGTTTTAATGTTTCGAACGATGTCTGACACTCTTGAGTCCAAGAAAACTTCGTGTTTTTGACAAGAAGCGAGTTAAGCGGAGCAGCTATCTTGGAAAAACCTTCGATGAATTTCCGGTAATAATTCGCCATACCCAAAAAGCTTCTAACCTGTTTTTGGGTTGTAGGAGTTGGGTAGTGACGTATTGTGTCAGTCTTTGTAGGGTCGACTTCAACTCCTTCACGTGTTATGATGTGGCCCAGGAATTTCAATTCTTTCAGAGCAAAATGGCATTTCGATGGCTGTAGTTTAAGGTTTGCCTGTTTAAGTCGAGCGAAAACTTCGTGCAGGTGTCTTAAGTGATCTTCAAATGTTGGCGAAAAGATAAGAATGTCGTCAATGTAACAAAGTACAAATTTCCAATGAATGCTTCGAAGAACACTAGTCATTAAAGTTTGAAATGAAATTGGGGCATTCATGAGTCCAAACGGCATCCTCTTCCATTCATAAACGCCACTTTGGGTGATAAAGGCAGCTTTGTGTTTTGTAGATGGGTCCATTTCGAGTTGCCAGAATCCACTCTTAAGATCGAGGGAGGAGAAATATTTTGGTGAAGAAGCTCCAAGAGAATCAAATACATCTTCAAGTTGAGGAAGTGGGAAAGACATAGGTATGGTTGATTTGTTAAGTCTGCGGTAATCCACAACAAAACGAAATTCACCTGTTGGTTTCTTCACAAGAAGGACAGGGGAGTGCCATTCGGAATTGGAAGGTTCTATGATGTCATTCTCTAACAGTTCTTTAACTTGACGGTCAATTTCGGTCAGATTTTGAGGAGTTGTTCTGTAATGGGGCAGTCGAACAGGTCGAGTTCCCGGCAAAGTATCTATCCTATGTTTGTAGCAGTCAGTACGTCCTAGTTCACTTAGATCAGATGCAAAAGAGTCTCTGTGCTCACGCAGGAAGTCCAGTAGCACTGTCTTCTGTTCAGTGGTAAGATCAGAAGTTGAGAGGTCAAAGTTTAGGTTGTTGTCTTGCACGTTTTGATCAGAGGTAGTAGAACTCGGAGATGAATCGAAAGAAAATACATTTTGTTGATCTATTTGAATGACAGAAGCAAGAATTGTTCGAGCCTGAATTTCGACATCTGAATGTGTCGGGTTCATAACGCGAAGGTATGCCTTGCCTTTGTCAACTTGAACCAAACATCTTGCAGCAATAAGCTGCTTCTTATGGGAAAGAGAAGGGTGTGGATCCAACAGAACGTTATCACAGCTCTTTAAATGAGAAATGTTAACAGGTACATTTGTTTCACTTTGTTTCTGGATAAGCACTGTTTTAGAAGCTCGGGCTTGTCCTTCGGCTGCAGATAAAAGTCGAATGTTGTGAATGTCATTGTTTTCATCAGGAAGCAACAACAACTGGGAGTCGAAATCAATCTTTGCCTTGTGTTGATTTAAGAAATCCACTCCAAGAATGAAAGGATAATGAAGATCTTGTATGATATGGACGGGATGTGAAAATTTGACACCACTAATAGATATAGGAATTGTTAACACACCAAGAACGTTGAGTCTAGCACCTGTAACACCTTTGATGATTGGATGTGTAGCAGGTTCAAAGGAAGTACCAGCGAGACTTGTTTTGTTAATGAAAGAAGCACTAGCTACTGTGATACTTGCACCGGTATCCAACAATGCATTTGTACGTTTTGTCTTGACGGAAATTTCAACTTTATTTTGTTTTAAGGTTGTAGCCAAATTTATGGAAGCAGGTTCCTTATGATGTTGTGATGAAGTCTTTTTCTGGTGCCTATCCTTAGATTTTACCCCAAGAACAGGCGCGAGTCCCTAGCGTGAGCAGTTTAAATCGCGAAGATATTTCGTTACACAAAATTTTTCAAAATGATTGTATCTGCCACATTCAGTACAGTAATGACCTCTGGCTGGACAATGTAGTTTAGAAAAACATGTAGCACTTGCACATCCATGACAGTAATGTTCAGGAACTGGATTGGAACTGGTTGAAGCGGGGAAGTTATCTCGTGGTCTTTGATGATTTGGTTGCCGTGGACCCTGCATGTAGTGTTGTTGCTGTGTACGTTGGTATTGAGGTGGCTTATGGCTGTATTTAGGTCTAGGTCCAGAGGGGTAATGATCTGGTGGAGGAACACTGTATTGGCTTGGATGATCCTGTGAATTGCTGTTAGTCGATCGAGCAATAGTATCCCAGCTGGTGTTGTTTGGTACGTTAGAATGCATAGCTGCAATTGTTTGTTGAAGCTGGTTAGTGACATTACACACTGCAGACATGGCGTTGATAACACTATTTTCATCATTGTTTGTAAATGTTTGAGAATCCATTTTGATTGTCATTTCTGCAATAGAAGCTGAATTCCGCAAGTTTTCTATAGTTTGTGGGAATTGTGGCATCACTATTTTTCGAATTGGGGCATGCAATCCTTTCATGATCATCGTAGTAAGACAGTCTTCCGGCATGGTGGAGTCAGTGGCTAACTTTTGAATTCTTAAAATATACTGGTCGACTGACGCTGAACTCTGTTGTTTTATATCGAATAATCCAAGACTGAAAGGAACTTGTGGTTTAAAACGGCTCAGGAAAGCAGCTTTCAGATGGTCCAGAGATGTCCGAATTTCTGGAGCAAGTTGAAAGAACCAGTCTCTTGCTGCGTCTTTTAAATAGAAAGAGAAGAAATCGTGAGCAACTTCGATCGGTATGTTCATTAGTGTTATGTAGGTCATAAACTGTGTCCAGAATTGGGTCGCGGAGGTCTTTCCATCATAATGTTCAAGGCTAATATTTGCGCGCGGGTAAGGCACAAATGTTGATGTTGGTACTGTGTGCGGAACAGCCGTACTACTCTGTGTAGGTGGAGGTGGTGCATAGACAGCTGGTGTTGCGGGTATCGCTGTGTTGTGCGTTATGTCTGTAGTAAGTTGATCGTTCTGAGAATGGTACAGGGCAGCTCTAGTTGGTGTTGGTGGCAAGTTGTTCTCAACACATTGGGAAGTATCTGTCTCTTGGTGAAGTTGAGGTGGAGGTGGGGGAGGATCTTTTGGTGGTGCCAAAGAAGATGCAGATGTTGTCCCTGAATAGGGATAGTTGTCAGCTGCAGTTGCGACTGTTGCTTCCATCTCGGGATTGTTCGTAGAAGTCGCTTGTTTTTGATAATTTAGTGGGACATTTGGTTTGTATCCTAAGCGGCGGAAAAGAGAACTACTGGACGATTGGAGTCTAGTTGTAGGTCCAGGCATAATGTAGATAAATCACGTGAAGAATGCTTTGATGGTGCTGACTTCGTTGAAAGAGATGGTATAGTTGTAGTAACTGTGGGGAACTTGTTGAGTTTGGGGAATTTCTCTGGTAGAGCACGTCAGCTTGGCAATGAGAGGTTGGGGTCGAATGGATCTCCGCCACTTTGTCTCACACGGTTTGGGTATGTTTTTTTTGTTAACTGAGCCCGATCCGTATATTGAGACAATTCTTTTTGTCAATTAGACTATCCTTGCAATCAGGTTTGTCCTTGATCTAGAAATAGAGGCGAAGAGTGGGAATTATAAATGTTATGTCTTTATTAGCGCAATCATAGAATGGATCCGCATTTCCCCACTCTTGCCCAATTTAAAGAAATAGGTTTTGAAAAAGGACCAATCAAAAATTAAACTCAGGATTTTAAGATAACAATTAGTGAAAAGGCAATTAACGAGTAATGATAATTAAATGACAATTATAAACAATTTGAAGCGAAAACAACTCAACATGAGAAAACAAGGTACTCGCTTATGACATCTTGGAACTGATTAATTAATTGGATTACATCTGTCTGACAGTGAGAAAAAATAATTACATGTACATCAAAGATTAAAAAATAATCAAATACAATTAGACTCAGATGTCACAATTTAAAAAAATAAGTTTGAACCATGAAGTATACAAAATATTAAATATTTATACAACAATCAGAAACTATTGAATTAAGGAAAATACGTGACACATATCTTGAAATGTAAAATATAATTATTAAATAATAATATTAACGCGTTGATAGAGGCTTTATATGCGACTGAATGAATTTATACAAAAATGTAAAAACAGTCAAAATCTAAGTGTGACATAAATAATATACATGTTTATTCGAACGGTTCTTTTTAACTTACACATGGAATACACGGAAGACACTTAAAGTGATAAGTACTATATATACCGGTATATATATAGAGAATAATACATACCCTTTTCCATATCACATCCTGTATCAGCCCGAGACACCAATATCAGCCAGAGGGCCGAAGGCCCGAGGGCTGATATTGGTCGAGGGCTGATACAGGATGTGATGTGGAAAAGGGTATGTTTTATTATATTTATTACATACTTAGTAATAAAATACAGAACACATTCAGTTGAGAAGAAAATAAGTATATAATCATGCATGGACTTCTTACATACATGTACATAGTCTTATGTCTCATACGATTTGGGTTTGTTTCTACTTCTATTTCAACGCACTTGATCCGTAATTTGAAAATATTCTATAGTATTACATGTATTTGTAAATTATGATTAACCTTATTTTCAAAAAGTTGAAATTAAGAGAATATGAACCCACCAAAAATTGTGTATGATCACAAGTACTGTTTTGTGGGTTAATTAATTTACTAATGGTGTGTTATTGACGTCACAATAGCCGTATCAGCCCTGCAGGGCTGATATGGATTTGCAGGGCTGATACGGATATCAGCCCCGCAAATCCATATCAGCCCTGCAGGGCTGATACGGCTATTGTGACGTCAGCCATATCGCATATGCAAAAAACCTGTATTTATTACTAAGTGTGTAATAAATACATATATACTATATACGGTTTTAAATTTCATTTTTAGTTGTTTCAGTGATGAGTGTTATTGAAAATTCTGTTTTAAAACGACCCATTTTCGCTATTTGCAATGAAAAAAAAATTGACCCCACAGTTTAATTGTTGTACTTGAATCATTTTTTTAATTATATAATCCAGATGCGAGATTTAAAAACATGATGCGCATTCAAGCAGACTTTGAATGCTGATTCTCTGCATGTGGAAATTTAAATATATTGAGTATGTTGGACAAATCGATTCAGGACTTATAAATGAATTCAATTATTCAATGAATTAAGGTCCTTATAATATTTGTTCGTGCTTCTGTGAAATATGCATTTTATTTTGGGATTGTATTTGGTCATCTTAAAAATTGTAAGTATAAATTGAACTCAGATTTAAAGAGCAATGGTGAAGATTTTCCTAGAAGATTAATATGATTTATATCTCAAAGGGATTGTTGAGTAAAATTACATGCATGTATGCTTGATGATTTATTTTATTAAATCACAGGTTTCTCTTTATACATTGTATAATGTATCATAACACAACTATCGTTCTGTACCTGATGAATAAAGGTTCAATTTTGTAATCATGGTACATGTATCATTTCAAATGCGTTATAGAATTAATAAATAATTCTTCATTTTTTTAAAGTCTCGTTCATCGCGCAACTTACGAGGGTTGTCCCATAAAATCGTGGACAAAGCGTTTTTCTCGAAAAGTAATGGGCGCACTAAGCTGAAAATTTCAGTAAATGTTTATTTATCATATGTAAGTGCATGATAATTTTTTTGATAAAATGTAGGCAAAAATAAATATTTTATTATGCTTAAATGTGCACGGGGTATTGTCCTACGGCGCACGGTAAAAAAACCAAGGTTTTATAAAAGAATACACAAGTTTCATTTCAGAATAAAAGTTTTAAATACACAAGATTTGGATTACAATTATCCTAATTCAATTCCACGATCAATTTTGTAGTCTTTGTAAAAATTTTAAGGCATTTGGTTAATTTCTGGCAGTTTCTCAAGCATTCAAAATGGGAAAGTGGTAAACACAACACACGAAAAATGGCTACGTTTTATGACGTTACGGCGCACCGGAGAGCTGTTCAGTTTTAATTCGATGCTGTAATGACACCTTTAGAGACTTAAAATGACCATAGAAGAAAACAGATTATAAAAATATCACCATATCTTTAGTATACAATGAAATAGGAGTCTTTTTTGATCGAGTCCCTGGGGAGTACAAAACATACGGACAAGCTCCTAATGTAATAGCAAAAGACGCTGTCACAGTAGACCGCCGAAATGAGATTTTCTCTTAGTTTAATGATGGCGAGAATATTGTCCGTAACTTACTAATAAATTTTCAGAAGATCGCATGAGGATGCCACTTGGTTCTTCGATTGTTTATGGAGACTAAGGAATGTGTATCAATGAAATTCCTAACTTTAAGTCGGACTCATATAACTTCATTTTCAGCAAAGATGAAACGTGACGCTGTTTTAGGCACTTTGACGTTATGTAATCCATGCGCCGTAAGGTGATACAATACATGGCATAAAATCTCATAATTTGTTTATTTATGCATATATTTATCTGAAATTTGCTGTGTATATTACTAAAATATGTACTAAATAATAGTGAAAATTTCAGAACGCAGTGATGTTTATTTTTTACACTAGACAACTTGTCCACGATTTTACGGGACAACCCTCGTACAATTAAATTAAAAGAACCTCTTTAATTTATTGTATGAAAAGGTCATTTAAATTCTGTGTCCTTTTGAGGAAAATTCAACATAAATAAATAAATAGATGAAAAGGTTGTTTTCGTCTTAATTATTTCTGATAGATTTCCAGTAATATATAAGTCTAATTTGAGACACATCCTATAATAATATATATTTTAAAACTTAATATTTTACGAACGTTTGGGAAGCATTTGAAATCACTTTTTTCATCGATCTTCATGATCTTTTTAAACAGTTTTAAAGAGACACCGTGACGTGAAAAGGGGAAACGTATAATTTTTGCATGGTCTGTGAAAATTTTGTTCAATTCCTAAAAGTTTAAGGTTTTAGAAAATTACAGGTTTCAGAACCTTAAAAAAAATCTATTTTAATCATGTTAATGGAGAGAAATAAAAGTAAAAATAATTTCAAAATATTGCGTTTACTTAAATTCTTCCTCACTATTGTACGCGTGCGCAGAAAAGTTGAATAAGTTACCATAGTTACCACATGGTCTCAAGTACCCAGGAATTTATGTATGCAGACCAAGAATTTAGATACAATCTTTTTACATACTGCATGCTCCAATTGAATGGTGTTTACAAGTTTGAGCCAAAAACTAGAGGTACTGTGAGCAATGAGCTCGATCACTAAATGATACCCCCGCCTCCCATATGGTTATAACTGATGAAAAAGTCCATGTTTTGCTGTGCCCGGGAAACCCAAAATATGTGTCGGATCAAAAAGCAAAATAGGAGGTGCACAATGGCAATATGTAATAAAGATTCTGTGAAAGTTTCATCATGTTTCATTCAGTGGTATGAGAGGAGTTGCGGATAAGAGATGGGTACCCCAAAGCGTAACAGACGGACGGACAGACGGACGGACGGACGGACAGACGTACAGACGGACGGAATTAACGATTACTATATACCCTCCCGCTTTTCAAGCGGGGGGTATAATAATTAAAAGTGACGTGACCTTGACATTCCCGAAAACAACAAAACAGTAGATACAACCTTTGTTTTTCCGGCACTTATATTGTGCAGTCTTTTCTTGCAGTCTAAGTGTCATATCTTTGCTAGATACTCATAATTTTCATAAGTCTTTCTCTGTATGCTACAGATATCTTAAAAGAAACACATGATACATGTATTTTGTCTCATTGTGCAACTTTAAAAATTTTATTTATTGTACTACAATAGATATCTAAAATATTTTCATAGCGTTTAATATTACTTGCATAACACTACTCTAATCATCTAATGACATAATTAATAATATTTTGCCATATTTGAATTCAGACTTTTGTCCAGGGTGGAGGCCATTTGTCAGTAAAACTGCTGGAATTTGTCAACCCCGGTGGAAAGGGGAGTAACAACCGCAATTGTGACGGAAGGTTTGGATTCGCCTTCAGCCGATGCGATCATCGCTTCGTCATTTGTGTTGACAAACAGACGGGGTAAAATATATATGGAGTTCAAAGAGAAAATCATTGCATGTCTCCACAATGTAATTCACTTAAAAAATCGCTCCACTATTGCTTCTTTTTTCAATTTCTTTCATTTAATTGATGTATTATTTATTTATTTATTTAAAATTCATTTGTTGGCTTGCTTGTATTTTCTTTAGAATATTATTTCTTGAATATAATGACAAAAAAAAAAAATACAGTACATGTATACATTTTTAAAATGATAATTTATTTTTAGCGGGAATTCAATAAACAAGTGTTCCTTTGGCCGCATTGAAACACCAGTTATATTAAATGCCGATACAATAATCTTCCCAGACATCAAAGGAATGAAAAACCCACTCTTGTTCAACGTAACATCGTGGCCTGTAAGATACTGCTTTATATCTTCTTTTTCTTTTAATTTTAAGGGTAGTTTTAAACTGTTAAAATATATTTACTCTCTCTCTCTCTCTCTCTCTCTCTCTCTCTCTCTCTCTCTCTCTCTCTTAGTATAGTCTTACTAGCTATAAAAATACATTTATAACGACTTTTTGCTATACCTATATATGGTATGTACCTAAATCTAAGAAAGTTTTTTTTATTTAATTGATAAAAATAAATCTAAATAATATATATATTGTTTATGAGATATCTGTCTTTTGACCTTAATAAACTGAAAAACTGAAAATAATTTTCAAATCCCACTACTTCAATAATATTATTGGCTATCGGAATAAAGAGATATTATACATGTATCTACTGTTTATAATGACCCGAAACTCATCGTCTTTTGATAAATAATCGTGTGTAATAAAACTTCACAGAAGGTTGGGTTAGGTGGCAGGGACGAGGTTTACAACATTCGTCAAAAACGCATGTCTAACTGTTTTTATATACGTTTGTCATATACACATGCTATATATATATAGAAGGACTTCCTCTATAACTTTAAAATGATATCATTTTGTGTGTGTGTTTTTGTTTTTTTTTTCTTAAGGCTTCGGGAAAGTTTAAATTAAAAGTTGATATTTGGGACGACGATTCAAGTTCTGCCGATGACCATGTGGCATTTCTGTACAGAAACTTTGAGATAAAACCGAGTGGCCACAGGGAGAATCATACTCACGTGCGGTTCATGCTCCATCGCAGAACCAGGTATATACAAATGTATCAGCAATCCCATAATTACTACATAATACATGACCATTGTATGTACATGTTTGTTAGCGGAAACTTTAGTAAGATTAAAATAATTATAAAGTGAAAACTGAAAACAAAATGATTTCAGTGGGATTAGACAGGCTTCACTGTACATAAACTATGTACCAAAGCATGCAATATGCTCAGTGGCAATTCCAGCATGCAGAGGGATATAGAGGCTAGGGTGGAGGAGGGGGTTCAGTTTTGTTGTGTTTCAGAGTTGTCCCTCTGCACGGTATAATTTTCCCTATACTGATAGGTCGATCGACCATTTCAGTCCGTCGCACGAGTTATATATACAGATCTACAGCTATAATAGATATAATATGTCATTAGTTTTGAAAACTTTCACCATAACGAATCACTTCTCAATGTTTTATACAAATACATTAACAGTGAACCGTGCGCGCATAAATTCTGGGGTCGCTATTTTTTGGAATATCATGTCAAGCAATGTTGACGTTGCTACGCTGGACATATTCAAACCTATTAATGTAGACAATATTATACTGAAATCACAAACATTTATGTTACATTCAATATTTTCAAATTGCATGGAAGGCAATGTGAACGCAATAAAAAAAATATAATGTGAAGACCCTTGGATTTGCACTTGTTTTAGTACATGTCCTGTTACTATAAATATACCTAGTATTTGAATGATTCACAGGCTGGTGATAGAGCTTGCAGTGTTTTGTGACGATTTCTATTTCGGTAAATCATGTGACATTTACTGTCGACCTAGAAATGACTATACTGGCCACTACCTCTGTAACAAAGAAGGTCACAAAGTCTGTCTGAAGGGTAAAGTACAGTTTTAACGTGTTTTAAAATATCATTGTTTATCATATTAAATTAATAAAAATATATGTATTTGACAATGTATGGCAATAAATTTTATGCTGGTATTCTTTTTAAACAAACAAGATCATAAGGATATGGACTAATAGAATTTAAAAAAATAAGCAACCCTTTAGTCTAATAATACATGTCCTCTACAGTGTATAAATACATACATATGTGTTACCTGTATGCAGTCGAACCTTGATAATCTGAATGCCATAATTTTGGAAGTCTTAAATTCCGAAGGAAATCATAGAGGGGAATAGATTTTACCAACCAATTATTCTGGAAACATATACATGTGAATTTTGGACCAAAAAATCTGCAGAAGAAGATGAATTCTATAATTATTCTAAGTGAATTGTGTTGAATATTGAATTTTATCAAAGAATACAGTTTATTTCAATTTTGCAGGTTGGAAGGGATCTAAGTGCACCCTCGTTGATGACTGTGTGGACGTGCCATGTCAAAATAATGGGACATGTCTGACTGATAATCGATACAATTCCTTCTTCTGCGAATGTCAGCATGGGTTTACAGGTATAAACAGTTGAATCAAAGTTCAAGCAATACTGTAACTAGTATATCGACTATCCGATACGATATACATGTACAAGCAATACTTTAAAAAACATTTTGAAGATATTAAAGACAAATAAGTTAATGACAGCAGGTATAATAGATCGGACTAATGAATATGTACTTTGCAATTTGTTTTTACTGGCACGAATTTGATTTAGTATCGTAATTTAATACTCTTTTCATTTTCATATTTTCCCTTTAATTTCAATTTTATAGAAAGTACTCCACTTGTTGAGTACTGAGTACTAAAAATAATATTTTAAATTCTAGGTAAACTTTGTGACATGCAATTTTGCAAAGAAAATGTCTGTAGAAACGATGGAGTCTGTTATATTATTAACAACACAAAGGTTTGCGACTGTCCCTCAAAATGGACGGGCGAAAGATGTGAATCAAAACTAAAAAGTTGTGATGACGTCACATGTTTCAACAACGGAACCTGCGCAGTAGTCCAGAATGAATTCCAATGTATTTGCAAAACAGGTTGGCAAGGTGTAGCATGTTTGAGAGACACCGATGAATGCCTGGGTAACCCTTGTCATGGAAACTCAAAATGTATCAATACAGAAGGAAGTTATTTTTGCCAATGTTTGCATGGATGGAAAGGCAAAGACTGTACAAAAGACGTAAATGAATGTCAAAAACAACCATGTGCAGACACTGCAGAATGCGTCAACACCATAGGGAGCTATTGGTGTCGATGTTTGGAGAATTCAACGGAGAAAGATTGTTCTCTACCCAATCAGGAGTGTTCCAAGCTGGTCTGCCAAAATAACGGCACTTGTATTGTAGATGGAGAAGGAGAACGTTGTCTTTGTATAGAACCTTGGGGAGGGGAAAGATGTTCTGAGTTGAAAGATTATAATTTGTCCTGCAAAAACGATTGCTCTGCTTATGGTGAATGTAAGGTGGACGCTCAAGGGAAATGGACATGTAATTGTCAAGTGGAGAATATTTGCGAAACCACTGTTCCTGAAAAGTGTTCAATGCAAAAAGGTTTGCATGAGTTGACAAACATACGTATTAATTTGCTTCATTTATTTTTGTTATTATTATTATTTTTTTGAATGAATATCAAGATAAGAGATTCAAATTGTTGCAAAGTCTAAAGACATATTTTTTTTATCTTTAACTTTATAATTACTAATAAATGCCATCCATGGCGTTTTGTGATTTTTCTGTTGCAGGTTTTGATTTAAATATAACCTATCCTCTTTCAAAAACGGATAAAGGGCTTATTAAAGACCTCCTTTCTTGTGTGGGAATTAACATTACCCAGTTAAAAGTTTCAGCATATCCGTAAGTATAGTATTGAAGGAAAACTTTTATCAGGGAAACGAGGAAGGTAGTGCTAAGCAAAACAATATAGTCACCGGACTGCATTCAGAAATCCATTGTTTCTTCTAAATAAAGCATATATATTCTGATCGATTTTTGGTTTGTTTTTCTCTCAGTTAATCGTATGTGTTTTGTGTTTTTTCAGCAATCAAGAGAAAATTAACATACTTGGAGTAAGTTCCAATTCTATCTTTTGGACAAATTGTTCAACTTGGCTGCAAGAAAGTTTGGAAAACTGTACACAATTAATATTTGATGGCGATCTATCTCAACAAGAAAATGGCAAAAAAGCAAACCAAACCAGAAAAAGTTCTTTAATGAACGGAAAGGATTCCGGAAATTGGTATCCGCTCACTGCTCTCCTAGTAGTCCCTCTCTTGGTCATCGCCTGCTTTCTCGTTTTACGCAGAAGGTATTTAGAACAAATTATACATTCAATGCCTTTTATAAATAGTGTTAGAGTATTTTATTAATGACGTTTTTATCTGATTTAGGATGAAGAAAACCCGAGAAAGTAAAGAACGAGAGACCGTTCCGGTGCTGGAGGATGCTAATATTTCATTTGGAAATTCCCTGTATGCAGAAATAAACGGCGATAGTCATCAAATGAATGAAAGTGTCTAGTGTTGCAAAGTTTTTGAATGTGTGCAATCTCCATACAAGAACAATTTGAAAGAACTTATTTTCGATATTTACACATTGTCTTAGGAATCGAAGGAAGTGGACATTGCCCTCCCAATAATTTGGCCGATATATATAGAGAAGGATAGAAAACATGGCTACTATATATGCCTCCTATAAATAATAACATTTATTGCTGTTTTTAATACCTGTCGAGGAATTGTGTTTGGAACTGCCCCCCCCCCCCCCAAACTGAAAACACCCTCCTCTAACTGAAATTGCTTTACACAAGGCCTTTATTTGACCCCAGCGTTTAATTTGAATTTCTTGTTCCTATACCAGAAATTCTTTGACAGGCTAAAATTATGATTTTGTTGTGTCTATGTACCGGGTATAATACTTAGTACTTGCGCTTGCTAAAATAATTATACATGTTAAACAATTTGGGAAAAAAGTCATATTATTTACATTGCATGTTGTTTCAATTATGTTAATTGTAAATTTTACTTGATGTCAGTAAAACTGAAATGGTTAACATATTCATATTGGTAATAAATTTTATCTACTTAGCTTTTAATTCATTTTTATACACCCATCCCTGTACTCAGCTTTTTAAAACCCTTGCACCAACTGTTCAAAAGATAGGTGAAATTCCGAAGTCAAAGTCTAGAAAGGTCAAAACCGATGGTATCCAAACGAATGAGGAAGGCCTTGTCACATGGAATATACCCGTGGAAGACCCTAACTTCTCAAATTTTATGTCCAAAATTTATTTTGTTAAAGTGGGTCAAACTCAAAAGTCAAAATATTTATAATCCTGGAAGGTTTTGACACATTGAACACACCTGTGAAGTATGCAAGTTCTAGCAACAATTAATCACAAGTTAACCATGTTAACTGTTCAAAAGTTATGGTTAATGCAAAGTTGGGTCAAACTCAGTCGGACATACAGACACTGAAAATATATAGACCGCAGACTAGTTCTTCAAGTTAACATTAAAGCTTAAGCAAATCAAAACTTCCAGAATTTCAAGAAAAAAATAAAAGAAGTCTTTTTTAACACATTAGTAAAATCTGACATGTCCATTGTTTCACAAAATGAAAACCACAGGTGCTTGCATGAGGACAAAACCCCTCCCCCTATTCGATATAGACCCCTAGCGGGACCTTTTCGACTTTTTTCTCGTGAATTATCTTTCAATGGCATATTATATTTTTTGATAAAATCTTGACCAATATTCGAAAAATTATAACTAAAACAAACGTTATATAAAATCTAAGCTACATTCTATTTAAATAAAAATCTATATAGAGTTAGGTAGTATTTTTCATAAAACGTTTGTTTAAGCAAAATTTTTGAATTGATAGAATAGATTATATCACAAATGTGTCATCCATATATAATTTATGTGAAAAAAAGTCGAAAAGACCCGGGGTCTATATATATATCAAAAGGGGAAGGTTTCTGTCCCTAATCACCTGTGAATGAAAACACAAGATCGTATGAACATGCAACGTTTTCCTTTTATTTAGGTATACATTAAAGAAAAAGTACCTCTTGTATTCATGTGTGTTGTTAATTTGTTTTTTTTAAAAAGCTTTCTAAGATTGGGTAAATCTCTTCATGCTCTTAAATACGCGTCGATTCATTCATCGTAATTATAACGGCGCGTCGATTTACCCAAATGGACCCAAATGGCGACCCAAATGGCCCCAAATGACGACCCAAATGGACCCAAATGGCAACCCAAATGGACTTCTGTAGACTTTATTTCAAAACTAGAATGCATCTATACATTTAAAATAAAATTATTCATTTTTGCATTTAGATATAAATATCGTTGAATATTCAGAATAAATAAAAATAAAAGCTGCTGAATGTGTTTTATGTTTATCATGTTTATCACAAAACTTCAAAATATTGTATCTTAGGCAAAAATGCGTACTTTATTCATTACATCTAAGCGAATTATTTTAAAATATAAGAGTTTGCCATTTTCACAAAGTTTTAATCTTTTTGAGTAAATCAGGTACGTAGCAACAGTTTATTTTCCACTGAAAATGTTTATTGAAAAGCCGATTCCCCCCCCCCCCCCCCACCACACACACACACACACACACACACACACACACACACACACTTTCAAAAACGATGCTACATCACTATAAATAATTAATTAATTACTATTTCATCATAATTTAGTCCATTTGGGTCGCCAACTAAGTCCATTTGGGTCCATTTGGGTCGTCATTTGGGTCCATTTGGGTTCATTTGGGTCCATTTGGGTAAATCGACGCACCCGAAAATTATATACTCATGTTTTTATAGAATTTATACATCACTTTGAACATATTTGATCAGATTTTTGGTTTTTATTTTATAAACACATTTGCTAAATCATGTAGGCCTCAATGCAGATTTTTTTTTTTATATCAGTGATGATCTTCGGTTTTTATTTTAAAAAGGCATTACTACTTTGGAACACAATTAATATTTATGAATAATATTAAAAGAAATATTTTGATTTTTAAACATTACTATTTAATAGTTTTTGGAAGAAATAATCAAATTTTGGAGATTTTTTATGAATGGTATACGGACACTGAGTCAAAGTTACGGGAAATATTAAGGGTTTCATCACATATGCCTGATTTTTACAATAAATAAATCAATTAATTAATTAATTTACATTATTTATTTACAATGTATTTATTTATTTATCAATTAGTTCATTTATTTATTTTATTTTTTGCTACAAAAAGAACTTTTCGATAACCTGAAACTTTCTAGCCTCTTATTCCAAAGTTCAGATGACAGTGATCGTTCTTCCTGTATATTATATAGGTGGCGCTATTGAAAATGTTTTGTCCAATGAAATGGGCTATTGTAAAAGAACGGAGATATGCTATCTGCATTTTGATTGGTTCACTTCAAAATAGCCAGGAATTTTCAAAACAGAAAAGAGTGTGAGTGTTGGATAAGTGGGATACTGAGGAAAGAAAATGAGGAATAAACCAGAAAAGGAGAAAAATCAAAACATCCAAGTGTCTGTACGATGCAGGTAATATATTTAATACTATCAAGTGAAAAAAAAGTCGTGTCAGATCATTCATTACTCGCTGATCGTTGTCGATAAACAAATCTGTTGTCAAACTTGAATAGACTCGATGACAGCCAGTTTTTCTCAAGCAGAATTATCAATAAATTAATATTTTTGTACATACATGCTTAAAAGGTTTTAATTTATGTCCTGATCATCTCTCAGCTTATCCCCATTTGACTTAATCATTTTTTTTTACTGCACATCATGTGCTATATTTTGTGAATGCACGTGAAACACAGATTACCGGGACGTGCTAGAAATCCTTAAAATACATTTTTTACAGAAATTAAAAGCAAAAATAGGCTTTTTTCGTTCCAGTGAAAAATATTTTTAAAATCAATTTTCTAACGTGTACTACTTTTCCTCATGTTTATCCAGTACTGTACAAACTTAATGAAAAAGTTTCACTTTTTGTATTTTGTCACAAAGTATGAACATTTATGTAACGAAAATCACAGGAGTTGGCAGTTTTATCAATAAACTTTTCCATGTCCATGAAAAAGTTTCACTTTTTGTATTATTTTCACTAAGTATGAACTTTTGTGTAAAATATGCTTATACTCTATATATTTCATATTTAATTACTAGTCCAGTTTTCTCTGAACTCTGTCCTTTTCTATAAGTTTTCCAAACAATTCCAGTTTTTACATTTCATTTTTATTTATAGGCCTATCAATGACATTGAGAAAAAGCAGGCTTCCTATTCAGTGGTAGAATGCAATGGCGAGAAGAGGGAAGTAATTGTGAAGGAGAGATTAGGAGTCAACCCTAACACAAAAACCTTCTTCTTTGACCATGTCTTTCCACCGGCAGCAAAACAGATAGATGTGTACAAGAAAGTTGTCACTCCCATTGTTGATGAAGTACTCATGGGATATAACTGTACCATATTTGCGTATGTATAGCTCACAGTTTGACCTGGAAAAGGAGGCTGGTTATAGCTCCTTGTCAATTGATAAAACTTGATTGATTTTGGATTCCAGAGATTTTTGAATTTGCATTTTATTAAAAAATATATCATTCCAACATTTTTATTTAATTTTTTTTTTTAACAAGAAAAAACTAAACTAAAAAAAGGCAGTGCATTATTTTGTTGAGATATTTGACCTAGTTTTTAATTTTTTATATGTATTATTTCAGATATGGCCAGACTGGTACAGGTAAAACCTTCACGATGGAGGGAGGGCGAGTGGAGAATCACGACGTGTCCTGGGAAAAAGATCCCTTGGCTGGAATCATTCCCAGGGCCATGTTCAACATATTCGAACAGCTCTCAAAGTCACAGGTTTGTAGAAATGCAGTCTGTTTCTTGACTAAATTTTTAACCAATTTGATATGTTAGTATTTAAACTAGTGACAGTAGTTTATTTATCTACATGCTGTGTTCGTGTTGAATAAATGTTTAAAAAAAAATTGAAGGTGAATTGTAGGTTTCATTAAGTTGAAATGTATACTGTTTGAACTTGATCCAGTAAATGTTTGAATTTGATCCTGAAAATGTTTGAAGTTGGTCCTGTAAATGTTTGAATTTGATCCTGAAAATGTTTGAAGTTGATCCTGTAAATGTATGCATTTTATAAACATCCTGTAAATGCTTGATTTTTTATCATTTGTTTATTATGTAAATGTTTGAATTTTATCTTGTCTCCTTCCTCACTCTGACTGTAGGATGTTGAGTTCTCTGTGAGGGTGTCCTTCCTGGAACTGTACAATGAGGAGCTGTTTGATTTACTGGGCTCCTCAGAAGATGCCCTCCGCCTCAAGATCTACGAAGACAGTACGAAAAAGGTACATATGGATGAACATATACATTTGTAATGTTTGTACAAGTCAAATACAGATGTACAAGTCAAATACTTCTAATTTTCAGCAGTTCAGTTGATTTTTTTTTTTAAATTGTCTAAGATAATGTTCATCAAAATGTAAAAAAGTGAAATATATATTAAAACCTTTTAAGATTTTCCTTTTTAAATTAATTTTGCAAAACACAGGCAATTTTTTTCCTCCAGATATTGAATTTGATATGGGATAATTTATTTTTTGTCATGCTTGTATTTGAGAATTATTCCTTTTTTTTCTTTTGGATAACAGGGCTCAGTCATCATACAAGGCCTAGAGGAAGTGGTAGTCAGAAATAAATCAGAAGTTTTTGAGATCTTAGAGAGAGGCTCCGCTCGAAGACAGACAGCAGCTACTCTCATGAATGCTACATCTAGGTTTCATATATTTTCATTGTTTTGTTTTTTTTAAACCAACTCGATTATTCTGTTTCATGTACATAATTTTTAACTTTTAGTTTATTGCAGCAGTCTTGAGCAAATTTTCTGTACAACGAAATATTTACATTACATTGAAGTTAATGAAACAGAATTACATTTAGATTTTTATTGTACATTATTTGTGAGTTAATATTCACATGGTTAATGAATTACCTGTTTCTTAATTACAGTCGTTCTCACACTGTGTTTTCTGTGACAATACACATCAAGGAGAATACAATAGATGGGGAAGAACTGCTGAAAACAGGAAAACTCTATCTGGTTTGTTATATTAACTTACCTTCATGATTTAAACAAAAGCATCAAAATAAAAACTAACATTCATAATAAGAGCAGATTTGCATATGATCTGGAAAATTTCAAGCAACAGATGAAAATGGGAACTCACAAATAAAAAAAAATCCATATTTGTTTTAAAAATTCAAAATTGTAATACCAAGCTGTTAAGTTGTGTAGATTAGACAAATTTAGATCTGTATCAGAGACTGTATTTTGGTACGTGAACAAACGAAATTTTTTGTAATTAAACAAAGATTTATTATCTGTTATAGGTGGATTTGGCTGGAAGTGAAAACATTGGTCGCT